TATTTTTCGACTAAGAGAGTAAGAGAAATAGCGACCAAAATTAATTTTTATAAATTAACCCTATAAAATTATATTATAAAGGTATTAAACAAAATTAGGCTATTGAGAATCATAGTGGTGTAGTTTACTTTAGTTTTGTAATAGAAGGTAATTATATTTTTTATAAATCGTAGAATAAAGTGATAATTAAATTATTTTATTTTTAAATTATATTTTAAATTATTGTCATAAATATTATAAATTATAATAGTTAAATATTTAAATTATATTTTAAATTATTGTCATAAATAATTTGTGTTATTACAAGAAATTGAGAGTACGGGAATGCATAGAATGCACAAAAACGTATAAAATATCACAAACACAAACAGTTCTTGCAATACTGAATAAATCTCTATCTGGAGTTTACTTTTTTTCATTATTTTCAAAAAGATACAAATTTATAAATTACATAAAAATTCGTGGTCTATTGATTAATCATGAACTCAAAAGTTTACAATAACTTAGGTTGAGAAAGTTAAAAGAAAAACCGTACGCTTAAAAATTAAAATACAAGACGATTAAAAGTTCTCGAAATATTAACTCGCACCACTATAACTCTCACTCTGCCAATTAATTAATAACGTGAAGTTAAATTAGTTATAAAATTAGTTAATTAAATTAATTACGATGTAACAATACGCAGAATTAAGTTGTCTCGTTCTTCTATTCTAATTCGAAAATATTTCAACGTGATAAACTTGCTTCGATATTATTTATGTCATTTATTCCTTTATTCGTGTGTCACAAGTGTAAAAATGTTGTAAACATTTTACGAATGTGTGTGTATATGCGCGTGATACTAGCAAGGAGTGGATGATTTACAATATTGAATCTGAACTAATACTGCGTTATAATCACGTTTAGAATATGTACTCGTATATTCATTGGTTGCACTATTATGACTAACTGAAGAATGAAAATAATGAAGGTTGGGGCAATGCTTGATATTGTATCGCTCCGATCCATTAATTTCCTCCATTTTCATTCTTCAGTTTATATCACGCTCTATATTATATATGTATGTTTTATATCTTGCTTATTACGTGTGTTTTATATTTTTCACACGTATTTGTTATATAAGAATTATTAATATTTATTTCGTCGACTATCATCGTTGTATTAAAATAAAAATTCACTGCTTGATTCCGAGTCGAATTTTGCAAAGGATCGTTCCATTTGTTTAAGACTTCACGTCTGAAGAAACGAACGTGCTAAGTGATATCGTCGAGTATGAAATTCAGTTGCTCCTGAACATTTTAAAATTAAAATCAAATTGATTTTAAAATTCTGATGCAACGAAGATCTTGTTCGCTGTACACGTGTGTGTTCGTTACATACAATCGAAAATGAGATGTGCGATCGAAATTGCACAAACGTCAGTGAAATATTAAAACAAGAGTTTCTACAAAGCGAAATATCTTTGCATGATTTATGAATTATTCACCTTACGTGTATTTCGTATGCAGAACGTAGACGACTTTAAAATTCTTTTCAGGATCTCGAAGAATTATTAGAAAAAGACGCTTCTTCGGGGAAATAATCATATATAATGTTATTCAAACGTTCATTGTTTAAGAAAAGAGACATAATTTAAAAATATTTTCACACCATGAAAATAAAGCAAAAAGAAGCCGTATTGTTATATTCATGGTAGCATTTAATAAACTTTTTAATTCGCTCTGCACTAACATCGTATCTCGTATGATTTAGTAGAATTTTAGAAGTGGGCTTGATAAAAAATGCTTCATTAAGAATCAACTTTTTATTTCAATATCCTTCGAGTATAAAAATAGCATTTGAAAAGAGACTGTAAGTGACGTAAGAAATATTTATTATACTACTCGATGCAGTAAATTCGACAATTTTTTCAACAAAATTCGATACCGCGAAAATGAACTCAACAAGAAATGCTTCATTAAGAATCAACTTTTTATTTCAATATCCTTCGAGTATAAAAATAGTATCTGAAGAGAGATAACTTTATAAGTAGCACAAGCAATATTTTTAAGTAGCAGTCTGGCTCGATTCAGTAAATTCGACAATTTCTTCAACGGAGCGTCTCGTAACACGCCAAGAATCTAGTTGTCTCCTTGCAATTTTTCAATTTCGACGAACGAGTGCCGTGACTTCTAATGGAGTTCGTGGAAACCACACGGAAGAATAATTAATTGTTCTGATGTTGAAGTTTCCGGAACCTTTCGTGGAGATGATTATTCCTTGAATGACAGGTGAAGAGATCGTCAACTCGATGACTGGCCGTATAATCTAATTGCATCGTGCGCATGAACTGACGAAATCAACTTTAATCAAGATTGATTATTTGAAGATGGCATAATTTTAATCGTGCTTTTCGTTAACATTGCATGCGTAATTTACTATGTCTGTATTTTTGTGTAACACGAAGCACAATGTTTTATATATTGTTGTATAGAAACAGTATAAAAATTACTCCATTTATATTTAAATCTAAATATGTCTAATAAATTAAATCACTATGAAGAACTGTGATAGTTGATAGAGTTTGCTGTAGGAGATATTACGATACCATTTTAAATCATCTCTCTGAGTGACGTTATTCGTCACTGAATAAATTCGTTATGTCTGAAAGAAAACTTGAAGAATTTTTCCAATAACGTTAATAAAGGAAATACCAGAAATCTGATTTTTAATGAAATTTCAATGAAATACTCGAATAAGGTTTGTAGCCATAATTTTAATTATCGAATAAATCATCTTTTGATACGTACAAATATATTGTAAGAACACTGGTATTCCTTGACTTTGCATTTTTATTGTGACTAAATTCGAACGTTTTTTCATTCAAGGATGAAAAATCTTTGTCTCTTTTCATTTCCACGAATGACGATGGTGAGAAATGAAATTAATTTTATTTTAATATTATATATATATATATATTCTTGATGTAATGTATGTAATACGATATATTTCTTAATTTCTCCAAAATTAATAGTGAATTATTATTTTTTAAGCGAAATTAGTTTCGCTAGCCAAAAACAAATTAAATCTGAATTTATTAAGATACTTAAATATTCGCCATTTATTTACAATACACACATTTCTCTGAATTAAATGAAAATCAAAAATTCTTAACTGGCATCGTTTATTATTAATCGTACAATTTACGATTAAATTACAATTAAACATTAAGTCTACGTTTAGGCACAAATTTTCAATTCCACTTCAATTTTACCATTACTCTTTATCGTAGAGAAGTGAAACCCTAACTGAATTAAATTAAAAACTATTAAGTTAAATTAAAAATGACAAACTATATGGCAATCTATAGTCATCTACGATCCAACAATATTAATATTAAGTAGTTAAATCAATAATTTTATTCCTTTAAGAAATTAAGATCGAAATTCCTAAAATTAATTTTAATCTAAAGGTTCGCACATTCTTGGATAAACAAAGTCTGAATACTCTGAACGTCTTCGTCGTTAAACTCGAAATCAACCAAAGAGATCTTAATATCAAGCCTTATTTCCGCTTCGTCGCAGAACATTCGTTGATTTCACCGAACAGATACACGCTCTGACAGAAAGACGAAACGGTCAAATCGTTTCTGTGACGCATTTCGAGGTAGCGTACGCGATGAAAACCACGAAGATATCGCTCGGAATCTGATATTCCAAATGCGTAATTGTCTTTCCATCGGCTCGAGCGACTCATTCGTTGATGCCTGTTTTCCAAGAAACGTACGTGAACGAACGAAAAGCCGGTCTGTACTGGTGATATTCGACGACGTCGCCGAAGGACAGGGTCAGGGTATCATATCTACCTTGACGCGTCAAGGGCTCCTCTCGCGGACATTGGCTCTTTTTCCAAGCCTGTTCACTTCACAGTCGTATACACGTACAAATAGCTGTTCCTTGAAAATATATATTCCCATTGCTTATTCATCTTAATTGCACGCTGTGAATTTCCTGGGCTTCTCTTTCTCGATGGCCATTTTTTTCTGCCCTTCTGTCTTCCCGAAGTTACTTTCAACTAAAACTATATTTTAACCCTTGGATGTTGGTGCTAGAGTATAAAAGGAGAATAATTGTATACTTGTACGATTAACGTAATGTCATACATATACGTATATTAAAAATTTGCAATATTTTAGGAGCGACAAGTTAAGGTTGCGTAGAGTTTTTGGAAAACTCGACGATGTTTCTTACATTTGTTTGCTAGGGAATTACCAAGTATGTTATGTCGAGTTATTTTGTAATTATAATTTGTAAGCTGGAGCTTTTTCATTGAAAAAAGAAAAATGTACTTTGATACAGTTCAATAATTTCCTCGTGTTTAATCGTTTATTAATTCTGAACTTCTTCCAGAGGAAAATTAATAATTGATATGTACGTGTTAGAAAAAAAATGTAATAGTATTTGTCTGACGCGTGTTATTTGCTGGTATTTATGCAAATATTTATGACCTTTAGATAGTAAAAGACCTTTAGATTATTTAATGAGATCTAAGTCTAAAGTTAAGTAGCTCTGAATATTCCCATCGGAATTTGCATATACACGCACAGAAATTAGATATTGGAACTTTTCAGGTATAAATTAAGGAAATTCAAAAATCGTCGATGAATTTATTAGTGATTGTGATTGAAATTAGAGAACCTGTCACCTTTTCTACCTGCCGATCTCATGAAAGGAAAAGTCTCAAGAGGAAAATCTCACCATGTTTTCTTGGATGTCGTCGCGTTCTTCAGAGACGAGTCATTACAAATCATCACTTTTCTTCGATTCCTATAGTGCACGATAATGGGAATTAATCGAAGAAACATAAAAATATGAAATTACTTTTATTTATTTTTTTTATCTTCTGTATATATGAATGAACCTTTGGAATTTCTGAAAATAAAATTATTATTTTTCTCAAACGAACGTAAAATTTTGTAAGTTCTGAGTATGGAATGGTGTATACTATGGTTTTTTTCAAATAGATATGAAATCTTGTTAGAGCCGAGTGTGTAATTGTACATATTTACAATTTCATTTAAACGATGCGTCAGCCAATTTCAACAACAATAATAAGAGCTATAGTTTTGTCTGGTTGAACATTTCTTGTAATTTTTAAAACTAACTAGATTACATTCCTTCAAAGTTATTAGAAATTCAAACTTGGCCCTAAAATTTGAACATACTAAATAGGCACATATTCGTCAAATTTGGACATGAACTTTTTTTTTATCCTCGAACATGAATATTCTTCGCTTAAAATATTATTTCGTTATTAAAGACTCAATGCACTTAAGCATTTCTAGGATATATTGGCATTCCTTTTTAAATAGCACGACATATACACTAAGTATACATCGTCGTACACGAGGCATCAAATATGTTTATTCAATTCGCTAGAATTTCATTTACTTAAACTCAACGAAGGACAGACAGTTCACACGTTATACGAGCAAAATTCACCGGCTTACGTTCCTATTAGTAAAAATTATGTCTCTTGCGGATTCTAGAACATCGTGTTCAAATATGGAAAATCAAGATCGGTTTCAGTCGATCAACAGGAAATTCAGTAATGATCACTTGCGTAAAAGCATAATAGTAACGCGGAGACGCAACAATTATTGCAAAATAAGAAGTGATCTACAAGTCATAGAATTAAAATAAATTTCCATGATGCAGCAAAACGTAGACATTGGCTCTAATATGTAATAATCATCGATACAGTCATTTTTGTTGTTTTCCATAATCGTCGCACGATTGAAACTGCTTTTTATTATCATTACGTTAACACGTTCACGCACACTACATTGTGATTGTTATTAATATTAATATTATAAGAATTATTAAGAAATTCAATTAAATTAAAAATCTAACAATAAATGATTTAATTATAAATCGTTATAATTGTCCAACGATATGAATCCAGAGTTAATATCCAATATCATATCAGTCAATATTAGAAATAACAATTATATTAGTAATATTAATGGTATTGATTCTTAACTGGTGCCATTGGACCATTGACAAACTTGTAAATTCCCCAATTATAGTTCGTAACTTCTTAATTGAATCTTTTTTACTATAATAATAATTATTATTATCTAGTGTTAAGTTGTCGATCATTGAAAAGCACATATTTCACTACAAATTATTAGATCTGAGAGAAATGCTAAAAAAAAAAAAATAAAAACAAAAAAAAAATACAGAATTCAGTAATGTTAATTCAAACATCGATTCTTAATGGAATTAAATTTCGTTCCAGTGAACGTAGCGAAGATACATGAAGTCGTACTGTCGCACGAGCACGTGCATACGCCGACGTAATAAAATAAAATTATCACGACACGCGTCCCAAGATCACGTGTCCAGAATTCGTGATGATTTGAAGCACATTGATCTGGATGCTCTAGAGCAGGTATCATCGACGAACAACAGGGGATCATTGAGAGAGGGGAGACACTACTAAAAGGACTTGGGGCTAGCCAACGTTATTCACTTGTAAGCCGACGGTCTGGTCATTCGCGCGTGACGAAACAACCCTGTTCCTTGGTTGGTCATTGTTCACATCCGAGAGAATCATTCTCTAGTAAAAAAGACACTTTGCTAGTAAAAAAAAAACTAATTTTTTAGTACTTATAAATTTCAAGGAATTTCGTTTCATCTTAGGAAACTGATCTTTGAGGAAGATGAAGACGATCGTGCTAATCGGATTGGTCCTGGCGATCTCTGGTGATGCGTTCGCGCGAGATCTGCGTAAGTGACATTTCAATTTCAATTCTAATTATATCTGATTATATCTTTTCTTCTTTTTTCCTTTCTTACGTTCGATTCATTGAGCAAATTTCTTTCGAAGATAATCTCTTAAAGTGGTGTTTGGAATTAAACAGACACACGGAGTGTCTATTAAATATTAGGTAAAAGTTATGGCTTCGAGACAAATTTTAAATTTTGACGTAACATCTAGAATGAAAGAAGAATCATTTTCAGGACTGTAACTCTGTCAATTATTCGATCGAAAATCCTTTTCGTACGAAGTTTCATACTATTATTTATTTAAAAAAGAAAGAAAAAAATTTTTTCTTATTTTTTTACACCAACAATGCTCCTTTAAACTTCATTCAATCATTTAACCTGAGTTTTCAGCAAATTTGCGTGTGACTTTACTTCTAGTTTACAGTATAACTTATAACATCTAGTGATTTGAAAAGATTTATTTATTAAATTTTAGACTCTGGAATATTTTATGAACGAACGATGTCTTTAATCGATGACCTCCTTATAAAATGAATTATCTACAGTGTAGCAAACGAAATTGAAATTAATATATTCGGATTAATTAACAAATTAATTAAAAATGAAAATTTTGTAAAGATAAAATATTTTGTAAAATATTCTGCCAAACGATAGATATTTTACAAAATATTTTAATACAAATAAATTGATAATTCATGTATCAATTAAAGATTAATACGTAACAATAATTGACATTTGTATTTGACGAACGTAATTTTTTATTCAAAAAACTATTTTATAGTTTATATAATCTCGAACAGAGCGCAGTTTCTAAATTGCAAATCGAACAATATTCTTCTGAATTGACAACATAATTACAGTAATTGGTCAATATATGTGCATATATACTGATGAAACACGTAATTAATTTTAATGTATGGACATTGATTCAAGACAAATTTATATACCTGAGAAGAATTTACATTATACTAATGAAATACAATTTCATTTATGGTACATATGAATAATTAGTTGTTAACTTTTATTAAGAGTGAAACTCGAATCGGATTATGATGATAATGCTGATCGAATGTATGATAATGCTGATAGTATCGCATAATTAGATTCTTTTTTAGATTGCACTTATTTATCACGTGTAAAAATATTTGTGGAATTCTGTAGAAAATTTTCCCTTTCTTTCAAATCCAATTTTTTTGTAAAAGCTATAGAATGAACATTTCACATACTGTCTAAAGAAAAGCAAAACTAAAAATTATCCTATACGAACAATAGAATTGTTCTATTCTTTTTGTAGTATAGAGACAAAATGTTTTACTACTTTATTACGAGATATTTTATGAACATTAAACACATTGAATTGTTAAATAACAATTTGAATTATCGAATTTTAATTATATGTCAGAATATCTTTAAATTAATCACGAAATTGAATACAAATATTAAAAATCATAGCATGCAAGGATTATATATAGGATCAAATATCTTCAATTTGCTAAACTTTAAGAAGTAATTTTTTTTTTTGTTTTCTTTTACAAACGAATCCGTCTTTTCCTTCGAATTCGTAACGTGAAATTCTAACTTTTTTTCTTTTCTTTTCTCAACTGCGTGCAGCCGATTTTATTCACGTTTGCAAGAAGAACGAGCTGAACCTTTCTGAATGTATAAAAGCAAGCATAATCAACCTGAAACCGCAGTTGAAAACTGGAATGCCAGATTATAAAATACCCTCCTTGGAACCATTGATGTTGAAGGAATTAGCAGCTACAGCAGGAGGGAATATTAAACTGAAGATGACGAACGTTGTCGTTCATGGTGCCAGTGATTTCGTATTAACGAAGTTGAAGTAAGTAAATAAATTCAAAATTACCTAGAAGCGTGAAATAAGTATAATTATATAAAAGAAAGACTAGAAATCTGGAATGTTAAGCAAATTAGAATACAGTCTATTCTAATGATCTGAAAATAGGATGGAATAAAATATTATGAATATTAAAAGTAATAATTTAAAAATTGAAATAAAAATCTTTCAAAAAAAAAAAAAAAGAAAAAGAAATAAAAAGAATTATACGATAGATGTTAGTTAAAGAGAAATAATAATTGTAATTCGAATTATACAGAGACTAATTATTAGTTTAGATTAATTATTAATTATTAATTGTAATTAGAATTATAGAGATATCAAATATTAGAGTTTATATTTGTTTCGTGATTTCTGTGTGTTATTTTCGATCTGTGTTATGTGCGATAACCTTGGAAAAGGCTGGATTATGCTATTAAAATAATATCAACTCCCGTGGAACTTGTCAATCCTGAGAAAATTTTTATTAAATCGTTCTCTTAAATCTCTTTGGCGGAATTTGATCACGGATTAATGGTTACGAAGTTTCAAGTCTTTGCAACGTATAACGCATGTTTTAAACGTTTAACTATCATTTTTTAAATAACATATCATTTTTTAAAATGTAAAATTAAGCTTTCTATGTTTTTGTAAAATAAATTAAACAACTTTGGCTCTAAATAGAATTTACCGTTGAAATTGCTTCAAAAAGCTTATCTTTTACTTAGTAATTAATTCTTTTATATTTCTAATTTATGATAAATCAAATGAAAAGCATTTCTACTTAAGTTTCGTTTTTCTTTTCGTTTCATGTTTATTCATAAATATTTGAGCTATTGCATTTTTATTTTTCAATATTAATTTATTTTTTTTTATTAATTAATTATATTGTAAAGTGGACGAGGATCAGCAATACATTTGAAGATTTTATTACAATGTCATAATAAATCGTAAATGTACATATTCTGCATTTCCTTTCTCTCATTTAAAAATATGAGCGTGAAATTCTTTGCCGATGGAGTTTCTATTTTTCCAATTGTAACATATTAAGTCAATTTCTTATTGTGAAATTCAATGCTCTTAGAATTATGTAAAGACACGATGCTGATTAATAACGCAGCATCATTAAATATTTGTAATAAGAAATTCGTTGACTCAGAAGAAATGCCAAGCTTCTGCATCATTACGTCTACGTTGTAATCGTGATTATAAACGATGCATCTATGTAACAGCAAAAATGTCGTCGTCTCT